GTGAAGCTGGCTACTTCAGGGCCCGCAAAATCGTTTGCGTAAACAGCCCGCAGGAAATCTTAAGAAACAGTTGGAAGAGAAGTGTCAAAAGAAAAAGTGGCCGGTCCCTCTTAACCCTCGGGTCAGGCTGGCAAAACCACAGGCCATTCCCGCTGTCCCGTGGAGGGGCGGGGAAGGGGGGAGGGAAGACTGGAGGATGGCGCAGCAGGACGCACAGACCGAGAGACAAGCCATGGGGCGAGAGGATCTGTCCAGCCTTTCGTGGGGACCTGAGGCAGGGCGCGCTCCAGCCCACCCAGTAAACTGCAGGTGCATCTCGGGCCGGATGGGGTTCCCCATGCGCCTCCCCAGAGCTCTGTCCTCTCGAGTTTGGACACCCAGGAGAGAGGGGGCGGAGAGAAGGGCGGGGCAGGGGCCCGAGGCAGGTGGGCGGGGCCGGGGGTGGGGGGCGGTGGCGAGCAGTATATACAAGAAGTCCCGGGACCCTGTGGGTCGGTGTAGGGGTGCGTTGAGGGCGGGGGGCGCTGGTGGCTACGGCTGGGTGCCTGCGGGGCAGTACCCTACTGCCCCCCGCCCAGAGAAAGAGTACTTTAAAGGGGTTCGCTTGAGGCTGGCTTTGCTTTGCTTTGCTTTTCTTTACTGTATATTTAAATCGCAGTGTCCCCACTGAGCTCCGGGCATCTCGTGTACGCCAGCGTGCACTTCCGTAAAGTCAAGGCAGGTAAGAGGAGACCCTATGGCCCACAGACACTTGGGCAACGCTGTAGTTTGCAGCCTGCTGTGCAGAGTGCTGCATCTGGAGCCAGGAGGACGTGGGTTCGAATCCTGACTGTAATTTATCACCTGTGTGACCTTGGGCATATCATCCATTTCCCTGGGCATCAGTTTCCTCTTCTGCAAAACTGGAGGGAGGGGTAGACTAGATGACCTCAGAAGTCTCTTTCTGCTCTAGACAGGTAATCTTTAGAATAGACCCAATGTCTCGGAAGGACCCAGGGGGGAGTTGGTGCGCACAGCAGTACAGTGGGAGAGGACCTGGGTTCGAGTGCCTGACTACCTGGGTCACCCTGGGCATCCAACTACCCTGGCTCTCGGTGCCCTCATCTTTAAAATGAGGAGAGTTGAACTGGGTGACCTTCAAGCCTTTAAATCTATGGGCCTGTGAGGTTCCGACGTGCAGCCCCTGCTCTTGGCAAAGTAACGGGCGAGCTTTGCTTCGAGTTTCTTTGATAGAATTTCCTGCAGTTGGCTTCTCTGCTTCTAGGCCTTGAGACTTACTTGGGAGCCAGACTGGGGAGGGGGAGAGAAGAGAGGTGAGGGCCTCCTTTCTTTGGGAAGTGAGTACTGTCGTTTGTGAGGGGCTCTTTGCCCCCCCACCCCCTTAGCTCACTTCTGTGTCTTTTTTTTTGTCTCTTCAGCCCCGAAAGCTGCTCACCCCCCACCCCCCGCAGTGCAGGAGCCACAGTGCTGTTCACCATGGTCGCGACCAGCAGCTTAAGCAGTAAAAATTCGGCCAGCATTTCAGAGTTGATAGACCGTGGCTTTCCGCCTGGAAGTCTGAGTGGTGAGCTTTTCAGCGGCTCCCCACCGGGAGGGGAGGGCGGGATGGCCAATCAGGATGCAAGTTTACGTTCTCAGTGATGTAATCATCTCAAGTATCGCTCCGTTGAATGGGGAGGCTATCCCATCCATCCTAGCCCTGCCGGATTGCACCAAAAAATAAAATATCCCAAGGTTTATTTGACGGGAATAGTTACTGAGGCTGCTACTGGCCTGGGTGACTTGAAAGGTTCTGTAAGAGCTATGTAGACCTGAAATTACATTGGATTTTTTTTTTTTACAGGTCCAGTTAAGTGGTAACAGATTTATTTAGTACTAATTCTGAATTTGTAGCAGCAATTCGTGAATTGAGTCCAAAGGAAAACTAACCTAGGTTTCCTTTGTGTTGTTTTCTTTAAGAGAAATGAAGAGACTAAATAATCCCATGATATTAGTTATGGAAAAATTCATTAGTGCATAAAGAAAAAATAAACTCTATGACAAGAGAGACTGACAAGGCAGTCCTCAAGTGTGCAATCAGCCTGTGGTGTGGGTGGAGAGGTGCCAACCAGTAGGATTACTTTAGGAAGCAGATGACCAATGCAGAGTATCAGTTTTCTGCAAACTTAATTTTGTTTTCCTAGGACTGACTTGTTTTGCCTGGCTAGGGGAAACTTGCCAGATAATTATGAAAAACTCTTTCACAAAGCAGGAGTTTTTTTAATAGGGGACTGTATAAATTCAGGCTAATCTATTGGCCACTAAAATAAAGACTTTCTTAGAGCTAGATATATTTGATATATTGTCTGATAGGGATTTTTTTATTCCACATTAAATATAATTAATAAAACAGCACAGGGATTTGCTTTTTTATTTTTTTTCTGTGTGTGTGTGTGTGTGTGTGTGTGTGTTCAAGCAACTCTCCCAACATAGGGGAGGCACACTGCAACATACTCTTGAGTTAGAGTTGCCTGGACTCTATTGGGATTAAGTGGTTTGCCCAGCCTCAGTCATTTTTAGAAGTAGGAATTAAACCCAGGTCTTCCTAACTCTAACTCTAACTCGATAGCCACAGTATTATACTGGCTTAAAATTAATTTTCCATTGAAGTTCTACTGACACTTCTTGGTGCGGGTAGATATGACCTTGGATTCTCAAAGCCTATGCAAGCTGAACATAATCTCTGCCAGGTGTCACCAAGCAATGGACATTATCTGTCATTCACAACTGGGCCTTACACTTGGAGAGCCTCTCAACCAGAAGACAGTTTGATCAACTGATTTTTTTTAATCCACAGTAACTAATGGAAAATTTAACTAATGGCTTTGAGGAGATTGTGATATGCCTTAGCGGATAGTGAAACATCACAGATTCTAGAAGCATTGAGATAAATAAGTTAACAATACACTTACTTAAGTACTGTAGCTAAAATTCTGAATTTATAAGCCAATAGAATCATATTTGCAAACTAGAAGAGATCTTAGAAATTTTACTTAATGTAATTTCCTCTTTTTTTTCCAGTTGAGACTTGTGATTTCATTGATGTAGGGAACTCTTTACTGATATAATTTACAATCTTAGATACTTGCCCAGGGCACTGAGTGGTTCAGTGACTTGCCAGTAAGTCTGGCATCTGCAAAATGAGAAAACTGAGGCTCACTTTCAAAGTAACATATTCAGTTAGTAGGAGAACTGGAAAAACTCTCCTGACTTTCAGAAATAAATGTTATGTTGGGTTTTGTTTTGGTTTTTTTTGAAGTTGATGTTTCTCTGTACCATGGTTTGTTGGTGGTGGTTTTTTCCTATGCTTGGGTTTTTCCTTTTTTTTTCCCCCTCTCATCTGTAACTTGTCTTTCCTATAGATTTTGACTACTGGGATTATGTTGTGCCAGAACCCAACCTCAATGAGGTAGTATTTGAAGAGACAACGTGCCAGAGCCTGGCTAAAATGCTGGAGAATTGCCTGTCCAAATCCAAGCAAACCAAACTTGGCTGTTCCAAGGTTCTCGTCCCTGAGAAACTGACCAAGAGAATAGCTCAAGATGTGTTGCGCCTGTCTTCCCCTGAGCCCTGTGGTCTTCGAGGTTGCATTATCCATGTAAACTTGGAAATTGAAAATGTATGTAAGAAGCTGGATAAGATTGTGTGTGATGCTAGTGTGGTGCCTACCTTTGAGCTTACACTGGTGTTTAAGCAGGAAAACTGTTCGTGGTCTAGTTTCAGGGACTTTTTCTTCAGTAAAGCTCGTTTCACATCTGGTTTTAAGAGAACTCTGATTCTCAGTCCAGGATTTAGGCTTGTTAAAAGGAAACTTTACTCACTGATTGGAACAGTCGTTGAAGAGTGCTAGAAAAATCTCTCTTGCTGACTTGTAATAGATTGTGCCACTGTTTGGTTTGATGTCACTTGTAGCTTGACTGGCCTCATCAAGAAACCCCAAATTTAGCCCATCTGACATGTGTGTTCCTTATTCAGCACAACCTCAAGGGTTTTGCTCCAAAACATTAATCTTGTGGCCTGCCCAAAACATCCCCAACGGAGTAGACGCTCTCCACTGATTGAGGCCATAGCCACCGAAAAATAGGATGGAGCGGGAGGGGACTCAGTGAGCCTTTCACTTGTGAAGCTGTATTCACTCTGGCCCATCCTTTCAGAAGCAGGCAGGCTACTCGGTAATTAATTAATTAGTTACGTCCAACCAGTCAGCCCTGGAGCTTAACTTGTTGACAATATGAATGACATTTTGCTTAGTTTGCTCTTCATAATGGCACTTTAAAAATTCTCCAAATTAATCCTTACAACTTTATAACCTTATTAAACGAAGCTCAGTGAGTAAGAAAACTTCTGAAAGCTCAGAAAACCAATGTTCCTACCTTGGATTGAAGGGTTCTTATCCCACAAGGTAGAATTTAAGTCTCTGAGCTTAGCTTGAAACTGACTCTTGGAAGGAGCTGATTAGGAATGTTACAGAGACAACACAGTTCTGTCTTTACTCTTACCATTTCTCCTTCACCTTTGAAGGTATGGAGGGGGTGAATAATCTTGCATTGTAATTTCAACAAATTTATCACAGTTTTTCTCAGCTTCATTTGTAAGGTACATGCTCCATTTTTAAAAGGTTATATATTGCTTATTATCTTTTGAATTGCAGAGAGGTGATAAATAAAACACAGCAGCAGCATGATAATGGTAGAAAAAACACTGGCCCTGGGTTCAAATCCTACCTATAATGCTTAGTAACTACTCAACCTTGGGCAAATCACTTTAAGCTCCCAAAGCCTCAGTTTCCTTATCTGTAAAATGAAGAGTCATAGTTTCAGAGTGGGAAGAGACCTTAGAGTCCTTCAAGTCTAACACCATCATTTTAAAGATGAGGAAATTGAGACACAGAGAGGTTAAGAGGCTTGCCTAGGGGCACATAGCTAATAAGTGTCTGAGGCAGGATTTGAACTTGGGTCTCTCCAGAGTCCAAATGCAGTGCTTTATCTGCTACACCATGCTCCCTCCCTTAAAGCAATGAAGGGGTTGGACTCCGTGGTCCCATTAACTGTAAGATCTGTTATCCTATGTTCAGCTCTTGTTAGAGCCCAAACAACAAAACCATAATACCAAACTGGGTGTCTGTGGCTATAATGGTGATGGATTGGATTTCCGAAATCGAGTTTCAGGAAGGCATTGTCTGATCCAGTATCTCTCTCAATGGACATCTAACTTACCAAGCCTTTTCTGAACCATTAATCCTCCATCCCTCTCCTTGACTCAAAGAATGATTTGATGGGATTGGCTATTTAGTTTCATTTCAATATTTCTGGGGCTTAATCCCAGATCTTCTCACCTTGCTCTCACCTTCCCTATCTCTCGACATGAAAACATTAACACTTGGAAAGAATTGTTTCTGAGCACTTCCCTCCTTGCTCCCACAAGCCTCTCAAGTAATAACTGGATAACAACTGCTGATTGGCTACTATTTTAATTATTGGGCTCAGCATATGCACGTGAAGTCACCATTGGTTATAGAGACTTGGTTTATTTTAGCACCATGAATGTCAGCAAGAGTTTGGGTAACTCAGGAAAATACCTCAATCTTTTTGTTTTTAATTGTCCCATGGCCTGAACTCTAGGCCAACTCCGTCCCTCATTGCTCATTAGTAACGTAATCACTGATCTTCTTTGAGAATGAAGGATCATTAACCAGTTTTCCTACTGTTGGTTGAGAACTTTGGTCTTAGTACAACAATTTTCAGTTGTATTCAGTGTTCAAAGCCTTCAGGTGATTTTGCAAGTTGAGATAACAAGAGCCCATTCATCCACTTTTGCACAACAGATTTAGGGCATCTAGGTGGTACAGTGGATGGAGCAGGAAGGCCTGCTTCAAGTTCAAGGCCAAGTTCAAATTTGGCCTCAGACATTTACTAGCTGTGGGACCCTGGGCAAGTCATTTAACCTTGTTTGCCCAAGTTTTTTCATATGTAAAATGAGCTAGAGAAGGAAATGGCAAACCACTCCAGGATTTTTGCCAAGAAAACCCCAAATGCGGCCATGAAGAGTTGGATACAACTGAAATAACTGACACCAACCACACCTGAGGCAGGGGTTCTAATACAACTAGCACAGTGTTACTCAAAAAATGGCTTTGAGCCATTATCTCATCTCACAGCTGCCATATATTGTAACTAGTTCCTTTGGGATTAGGCAAGATTCACCAAATCCAATCTGTAGTGTCTGGGAATTAGCCCATTGCAATAGAACTTGTGGTAGATATCTGTTATTGCTTGTGGCTTAATGAGTTTTGGATCTCTCTAAATATAGTGGGTCAAGAGTTCCTTTTGTCAGGACTTCCTCAGAATGGATGTGAAGTTTATATTCCATTAACAGCTGCTGGTTTCACTCGTGTCTTTCTGGGTAACAAGATGGCGACAGTTCATGGAGGTTCTTAAATTAATATTCCTGTTAAAGGAAATTGAAGTTTGTCTATTTTTGACAATAAAGCATCCTATATTTTTAATTTTCTAGCTGTTTGTCTTTCTTGGGATTGTGGATTATTCTTTAAGTAAAGAATGACAATAACAGACAAATGACCTCTGAATATTATATGGCGACTTTGTTTTGAGGTACATAGTTTCCAAGTAATCCCCCAACCACTGCTGTTGTCGGAAGAAGCAATACCAGAAACTTTGAAGAATTTTGGAATTGATTGTGTGACATGGGAGATACTGGCACATCCTGCATGGAGTGCCCACATCAGAGAAGGTGCTGTGCTCTGTGAGCAAAGAAGAACTGAAGTAGCTCAAAAGAAATGCAGGATGTGCAAATTTAGAGAATCCACCCCAAGTGTTCACATGGACTATTTGTGCCCAACTTGCGGTAGAATACTCTGAGCTCATATTGGTCTGATGGGCCACAGTCAGACACACTATAACTTGACTCTAACATAGTGATGTCATTTTGGTCCTCTGAGAACAAAGGACAACCAACCATGCCTCCCACCCCATCGTTTTGTTGACATTGTAAATGGTATTAATTGTACTCTGAACACAAGTATTCCAATAATTTGTGAGTTTATGGATTAACAAAGTGTATGTTCCATTTTTTAACCCCTTTTGGATATTACAATGAGGTTTGGTTTTGGTTTTGGTTTTTTTTTACAAGGAAACAGCGTTAAGATGAGCTCCACTGGTGTCCTTTTCAAAAATAAATTCAAAATCTTAGTCCAATCAGTTCCTCAGGGTTTTCCCAACATCTCCTTCAACCAGAATGTCACAATAGGGCAGCTGGCATATTGCATAGAGCACAGGGCCTGAAGTCAAATAGAACTGAGTTCAATTCCAGCCTCAGAGACTTAGGAGGCTTAGGAGTCACCCTGGGCAGATCACTTAACCTCTCTTTGCCTCAGTCTCCTCAACTGTAAAATGGGGATAATAGCACCCACCCCCAAGGGTTGTTGTAAGGATCAAATTGGATAATATTTGTCAAATACTTGGCACATAGGAGGCTCTATAAAGGATAGATAGGTGGCACAGTGGATAGAGTGCCAGGCCAGGAGTCGGGAAGACATCTTCCTGAATTCAAATCTGGCTTCAGACATTTACAAACTGTGTGACTAGGAAAATCACTTAATCCTGTTTGCCTCGGTTTCTTTGTCTGTAAAATGAGCTAGAGAAGGAAATGGCAAACCACTCCACTATCTTTGCCAAGAAAACCCCAAATGGAATCATAAAAAGTCAGATACAAATGAAAAAGATTCATGAACAAGAGGTTCTATAGAAATGCTTATCCACACACATGTATTTGCACTTTTATGATGTTTCTTGTCTATAGAGTTTGCACATAATTTTGATCTGTGCAGATGACAATGAATAATTTGAATCATTATTAAATTTACTTTAAGGTTAAATTATCAGTTCATTGGAAGGCTCTGTGCATATTTTTCTATTCTTATCCCTTTTCATTTTTTCCTATAACTAAACCCAATCTCCTACAACAGAAGTGAAAATAGAGTGAGGGATTTCTACAAATCAATTAAAAATGCCATGGGTAAGGAACAATGTGACCAAAAACCTTCAGTTCTCAAATAAAACACACATACCTTTGCTTTGTATGACTTGTTTTCAGGTGTTACAATAAGAAGAAAGTGTTTCAACTACTCACTTAAGAATGCCAATCCTTTAAAAAACAGAACAAAAACAAAAAGAATGACAATCCTTAAAAGCTATATGCAACTCAATTTTAAGGTTTGTAAAGCACTTCCTTCATTAAAACCCTGGTTGGGGCGGGGGCAGTGGAATATAAAAAGTGCACAGTAGAGAATAAAAGAAAATGTAGAAGGAAGCACAGAAAGCAGAGTGGCTTTGAAAATGATGAGTAGTACTTATATGGTTTATAGATTATATAGTTATTATTATCACATAATTTTTCAAAAAAGTAAACATTGTGAAATGTAAATTGATGGTTTTGTAGTGAACCCTCTTTTTTGGTTGTGCTGTGTATATGGAAATGCTCTCTCTTTACGTATTTAAGTTCAAAATGAATCTTTAAATTTTTTTAAAAAGAAAAAGAAAAAAAATCCTGAGGGGTGGGTAGTATGATCATTTGCCAATAAAGAAATGGTCTCATAGAGGTTAAGTGACTTGGCCAAGGTCACTTAGGCAGAGTACTAAGCATTAGTGCTATGATTTAAACTCAGTTCTCCTTAATCCAAGTTAAATTTCTTGATACTTCACCTCTACTATTTCACATGAGTAGGGTACCTAAGTGGATAGAGGAGCGGATAGAGTGCTGGTCTGGGAGTCAGGAGGACCTCAGTTCAAATCTAGCCTCAGACACTTACTAGCATTGTGACCCTGAGCAAGTCACTTAACCCTAAACGCCTCCCCCATCCCAGCAAAAAAGAAAAAGAAAAGAAATATGCCAATGAAAGCAAGATAACTTGACTATTGGAGGCACTACAGTAAACTTGCAATATCTCAGTAATCTAATATTAAAATCAATTCAAATTAACAAATACTTGTTAAGCACTTATTCAGTAAAAGGTGAGAAGCAATGCAGTAGAGTGAATAGAGGAGTCAGGAAAACCTGGGTTCACCTTCTGCCTCTGATGCTTGCTAATTGTATGACCATGAACATGTATGTTCATGTCCCAGAGATAGCTCAACATCAATCCTGAGGTGGACATTTCTTTTCTTTTCACATTTATTTATTTTATTTTTAATTTATGGAATAAAACAAGCATTTCCATAACACAGTATAATGCAAGATGATTGCACATGAAACTGCAAATCTATTAGTACATATGTAAATTTCTTTTTTTCTTCCTTCCTCCTCCCCACTTCCCATCCCAGAGATGGAAAATATTGTTTACCAGACTTATGGATAGGCAAACAATTTATGAATAAACAAGAGACAGAGAGCAAAGTTAGGTGTAAAATGGATAAGTTTGATTACTCTTTAAGACTAAAAGTTAAAGGTGATTTGCTGTTTTCTGAACCCTACCACCCAATGTAACTTTCACCCAAAAAAAAAAAAGTACAAGATATTCACTGTGCTCAGAACTAGGGATACAAAACTGTAAATTAGCCCTAACTCCCAAAGAACTTTATTATTATTAATTTTATTATTTTATTGTCTTTATTATTGATTTTATTATTTTATTTTTGTTATTAATTATTTTATTATATTAGGAATTCTTGGAGTTGGAACCAAGAAATGAATTCAAATCTTTGCCCTGACAGTTACTAGACCTGTGATTGTGGACAAATCACCACCCTGAGCCTATTTAT